CATTTAACCTCAATAGTTTCCAATATCCAGAAACGTTTGATAGTTAGATAGACAAACCTGCGCCCACGGTTACTTTAAATGGAATCCTCCTTCTTATTAAAATTGTTGGTTATTGATATATTGCATAGTTACATTTTTGCCAAAATACAGAGAATATTTCTGCACAAGACAAAAAAATATCAGGCAGGGTGATACAGTATTAGAAAGTATCAGGCTGATATATTTTTATACACTGATCCCATTGACAATGGTAAATCAGGGTATAAAAGTTTTGTCCGTATGTGTGAACTCGTCGATTTGAGCATATCAATATATTTCAAATATTCGATATATATATTCAATATATATACAAATATTCGCGTGTATTGTTACCGATTAAAAACATAATCGAAATTTAATTATTAAACTAGATCCTGTACGGCTTAAGAGCTAGAGCCTCTTAATTTTATATTTCGAATTTTATAAATTTGCACACATACATTCAAATGCGTATATTCTTTTCTATTCCAAGAATCGAAATTGCTATTGCTTGATAAATTGAGATTTGCGATTTCTTTCTTAAGTAGTGCACTGATGGTGTTGGTAGAGGCGGCAAAGTCGATCGAGCCCTGTTCGTCTGTCTGTCTGTCCGTATGTGTGAACGCGTCGATCTCAGCATCTATAAAAGCTAAATACTTGACTTTTTTTGTAGGTCCATGTATAGCACGGGCATATCAAGTTTGTTTCAAATATTCGATAACTATTCGCATTTAATTATTATCGAATAAAAACATGATTGAAATGCAGTTGATAAATTATAACTCGTACATCTTAAGAGCTAGAGCCTCCAAACTTTGTATTTAGTTTTATGTATATTTTGAACTTCAAATTTGCAACTTCTTACGTGATTTTTATTATTGTTTTTTTTTTATTATGCGCAAACAATTCGGGTTCGAATACTCGATACAAACTACGGATAGGACTGGGATCAGGGTATCTCCTAGTCGGGCACCCCGACTAGAGCTTTCTTACTTGTTTTGATTATTATAATTATGATGATAAAGTTGATGCGCATTGCGTAGATAATGTGGGTTTCAACTTGATTTTTTTATTGTTTTTTGTTTTTTACTTGTTGTCTTTCTGTTAGGTTATAACAAATGAAAATTTGTCCAGACATCGTTATAAAACAACTATTATCAGATTATACAATAAAGATATCAGATTTAGATTGTATGAACGCAGCGAGCTCTTTAGCCGCAAAATCTAGAGGCTTGAAATTTTCAATGTATACTATTATTTTCCATAGCTCATTCCATTTTCTTACTATCGATCAACATCGATTTGATTTGTTTATACCCCGATCCCATTGAAAATGGGAAATGGGAAGGAGGCGTGGCAGACACCATAAATATATATATTCTTGATCAGGACGACAAGCCGAGTCAATTGAGCCCTGTCCGTTTGTCTGTCCGTCCGTCTGTCCGTATGTGTGAACGCGTCGATCTCAGCAACTATAAGAGCTAGAGACTTGAAATTTTTTGTAGGTCCGTGTATAGCACGCGCAGGTCAAGTTTGTTGTAAATATTCGATAACTATGTGCATTTAATTGTTATCGAATGAAAACATGATTGAAATGCAGTTATTAAATTATAACTCGTACGTATTAAGAGCCAGAGCCTCCAATTTCGATTTTTGGTGGATTTTGGATACCGGCTCCAAATTTCCCCAAATTCTTAAAATTTAAGTTCAGATGAAACTAGGGCCATTATCTGAAGGCGTTTGCATCTCAACCAAGCCAATAGATCGAATGCAGAAAATTTCATTGAAATCTATTAAGTAGAACAGAAGTTATTAAAGAAAACGTTTGGCCAATTAGCAAAAGCACATGTCAGCAGTGCCACGCGCACGCATTTTTCCAATGCTTGTGCACACACACATTCAAATGCGTGTATTCTTTTCTATTCCAAGAATCGAAATTGAACACTCCTTGAATTAGCAGCTGCTACTCAACTTCAAATTTGCAGTAGCTGCGCTGGTAGAGGCGGCGCTCGTAAGCGGCTAGTCTCGGGTTCAATCCGCGCAGCGATGAGACATTTTTTATGGTTTCTTTTTTAATTATAAGTGGCGGTGTTGGTAGAGTTGGTGCACGTTGCGCAAACAGTCCGGGTTCGAAACCTTCTCTCGCAATGTCGTTTTTTATTTGTTTTCTTTTTTTTTCGAATACTCGATACAAACTACGGAAAATATAAAAAAACTCATAGGACTGGGATCAGGGTATCTGGTAGTCGGGCACCCCGACTAGAGCTTTCTTACTTGTTTATACCCCGATCCCATTGAAAATGGGAAATCAGGGTATAATGTTTGTATGCAATTGTATGTAACAGGCAGAAGGATTCGTGGCAGACTCCATAAGGTATATATATTCTTAATCAGGACGACAACCCGAGTCGATTGAGCCCTGACCGTCATTCTGTCCGTCCGTCTGTCCGTATGTGTGAACGCGTGGATCTCAGCATCTATAAGAGCTAGAGACTTGAATTTTTGTAGGTCTGTTTCAAATTTCAAGTTTAAAATATTCGATAACTATTCGCATTTAATTGTTCTCGAATAAAAGCATTATTGAAGTGCAGTTAATAAATTATATCTCGGACGTCATAAGAGCTAGAGCCTCCAAATTTTGTATTTAGTTTTATGTATATTTTATGCAATTCTGATTTTTGTTGGATTTTGGATACTGGCTCCAAATTTCCCCAAATTCTTAAAATTTAAGTTTAATTGGCAAAAGGGCCGAAAATGTTATTGAAATCCATTAAGTAAAACGGAAGTATTATACAAAACGTTAGGCCAATTTGCAGAAATACATGTCATACAGCGCCAAACGCACAAATTTTCCTTTAATGTGCACACATACATTCAAGTGCGTGTATTCCTTTTTATTCCAACAATCGAAACTGCGATTTAATTGTGCTTAAATTATCAGCTGCTACTTAAGGGACATTAAATTAGGTTTTTTTTCCTTATTTTGCAATTATGAAGTGGCGGTGTAGGTAGAATTGGTGCACGTTGCGTAGACAATGTGGGTTCGAATCTTGCTGTCGTAATGTCGGTTTTTTTTTTGTTGCTTAATACTTGATACAAAACATGGAAATTTAAAAAAAACGCAGAGGACTGGGATCAGGGAATCTCCTAGTCGGGGGCACCCCAAATATAACTTTTTTGCTTGTTTTTATTGTTGTTCTTCTAAAATGAGGAAGAAGAAGTTAACCACGATTTTATACAAAAATATATATAAATTACACAATATTTATTTATACATATATACAATTTTAGCTCAGTATATCATTTAAATTTTATCTAGCTTTAACAGCACCTGAATTTTCAAAGCTTATTATAAATAAAAATATAGTAATTCCCGATTTGCCACAATTAAAATTTACTTATTACTAACTAAGCAACTATAACAAATTTAAGATACCAAAATATTTAGCACAATTCTTTCACGAATCGTCCGGTTATACTATAAGGAGTGTATTTTATCAAGCTTGAAATTACTTTTGTACGTCAATTTTTACTCTAATTTACATTGTGCAACGTCCATCTGGGTGTCCGTCCATATAATCATAAAAACAATCATATTTAAATCAATTTATTAATAAATGAATTCAGGCGAACATGAAATCCCAAAATGTATTTAAAATAGATCTGTCTATCAACCTGCAAAATTCTAAAAATTTATTTTTTTAAGTGACAAATAGAAAGAATTAAAGAATTGAATTATATATTCGTTTTGTGTCCAGCATTCAACATCATGCATTTAACCTCAATAGTATAATTTCCAATATCCAGAAACTTTTGATAGATACATAGACAATCCTGCGCCCACGGTTACTTTAAATGGAATCCTCCTTCTTAATAAAATTGTTGGTTATTGATATATTGCATAGTTACATTTTTGCCAAAATACAGAGAATATTTCTGCACAAGACAAAAAAATATCAGGCAGGGTGATACAGTATTAGAAAGTATCAGGCTGATATATTTTTATACACTGATCCCATTGACAATGGTAAATCAGGGTATAAAAGTTTTGTCCGTATGTGTGAACTCGTCGATTTGAGCATATCAATATATTTCAAATATTCGATAAATATATTCAATATATATACAAATATTCGCGTGTATTGTTATCGATTAAAAATGTAATCGAAATTTAGTTATTAAATTAGATCCTGTACGGCTTAAGAGCTAGAGCCTCTTAATTTTATATTTCGAATTTTATCCCGGCTTTATATACTGGCTCCAAATCTCTCCAAATTCTATAAATTTAAATTCAGTTGGAAATAGAGTCAATAGGTGAAAGAGTTTGCAATTCTATGAATTCAATATAATACGTAGATCATATACTGAAAATTTCATTCAAATCCGTCAAGAAAAACAGAAGTTTGGCCAATTTACAAAAGCATATGGGAAGCACACATACATTCAAATGCGTATATTCTTTTCCGTTCCAAGAATTGAAATTGCGATTGCTTGTTAAGTTTAGATTTGCGATTTCGTTCTTGTTGGTAAAGGCGGCGAAGGGACATTTTTTTGATTATTTTAATTATGTTGATAAAGTTGATGCGCATTGCGTAGATAATGAGGGCTCTAATATCAGTGTCGTCAAGTCGCTTTTTATGTTTTTTTTTACTTGTTATCTTTCCTTTAGGTTAAAACAAATGAAAATTAGTCCAGACATCGTTATAAAACAATTCTTACCAGAATATACAATAAAGTTATTTTATTTAGTTTGTGTGAACGCAGCGAACTCTTTATGCGGAAAAAATAGAGGCTTGAAATTTCTAATGTATACAATATATCAATTATTTTCCATAGCTCATTCCATTTTCTTATTATCGATCAACATCCAGAGAAGAAGTGTTATTCCATGCAGGCCAAGCGCAAACACAGTAAGCAGAAGAATATCGATAACTCAGTAGGCGTGGGGAAGGCCGGGTTAATATAGATATGATCATTTTGTTTTTTTAGATTTCAGTATCGATTTTGTAATCTAGCTTTCAGTACTGATTGAAATACAAACTTTTCTCCGGCTCCACCGCCACTTTTTATTTAATATATTAATATTTCACTGAGCCACAAGGCCAGTGATTGGAATTAATTCTCAACATAACCTACTCGCCCAATCCAAAAGCAAGAACGCAACATCGTTGGGTCGACATCATTGGACTTGCAGCAGGACAGAAAGTTGGATAGAAAGTCGGACAGAAAACGGACAGAAAGGCGGAGGACAAGACGCAGCAATATTGAAAACCATAGTTTTGAATACAACAAACACAACATTAAGATATATAAAACATATCTTATGAGTGAACGTGAATGGCATAAGCAGATGAACAGAAGAGAAAACGGACGTAAATACGGAGAAACCAGCAAGCCAACAGGAGGAAGGACAAATCGATAAGGACAAATGTATGAAAGAGAGAGAGAGAGTTGTGGAGACGGACGGAAAGAGGAGAAGATAGACGGACGGAAAGCCAGATAGACGAACAGATGCATAAGCGAGTAGAACTACGGACATATGGACGCATAAAAAAAAGCTGATCAAACAGATTGACAGACAGACGGAACGAACAAATAGAGCTACAGACAGAGGTGTAAAGACAAACGGACAGACAAAAAGACGGATGTACGGAAATTGCTACATGCTAGACAAACAAATAAGCGACACAGTCGAAATAATACTACAAGCAACAATACAATATAACAGCAATACAATATAACATTCATTCTCACCAGAAGCAAAGATAAGAGACAAAATTAATAGAGCTCAAACACGTCTATTACAAAGACATAGCGCAGACAAAAAGGACAGAACCCTCCAAGTAAGCGAAATTGTTTATTAAATTAAGCAAAAGATTGGGTAACAAGCTTACGCCCTTATATAAAGTTACGGTAGAAGCTGACCTGGTATCGACAGTCCTAATTAAGGGGAGGGAAGTCCATAAGGATCTAAAATAAACTATCCTCTCAAGTACTCTTCCACTAGGTCTTGGATTCCACTTGCAGAATGGAATTATAATTTCTGAAATTGAAACATTAATGTTGTTCATTACTCTTATAAAGATCCAAATTACAAACCCAGCAATCTTTGACTTTAATGAACTAAGCTAAATTTTAAATGAGCACTCCACAGATCTCACCATAACAGACTAATCAAAATAGCTTACATAAAAGACTTGTTAGATCATAATTAAATTAACCTAGCGTAATATGTAAGAAAATAGCCATGTAATGAAACAATACTTAACTTCGCTGGAAATAACAACGTTGCTAGCAAAAATATTACAAATTGGTCATCCATGGCACATACTTGCTGACTTTTGATGAGGACATTCTATGTAAATGGGTCCCTGTACAAAAATACAAAAACCCATACTCAGGCGTCACCCAGGCTCGGTAGTATCGGCTACCCTAAATATATATATTAATATATCACTAAGCCGCAAGACCAGTGATTGAAATGAATTCTCAACATAAGCTTCCCTGAAGTCCGCCAACCACTGGAGGAGACACAGGGGAAACAATTAACTTGCATAGGTTGCTAATAGTGGATCTATAAAATAATGGTGAATGATTTGAAAAACCTTCCTCACGGAGTTCAACTGCTCTATCAAAGGCAATTATGCAACGCATGAATAAAACCATGTTGAATAAAAAATGAAATTTGAGAACTTGGTTCCAGTTAATTTAGCTTATGTGGATATACACAAAGAATTTCTCCCAGATTCATTTTTCTTTTGTTTCAGACTGTGAAGAAACCGAATAATGAGTTTGTGGCACCTTAGTGCGTTTCTGAGTATAATTCTGTCGTTTAGCCATGTTACAGGATTAACGCATCCAACCAATCCAAATATAATCATAATACTTATAGATGATTTGGTAAGGGGATGTATAAGTTGATTATATAATATTTTACACGAGACATTTTTTTAAGGGTTTCAATGATGTAAGTTTTCACGGCTCCAATCAAATCTTAACGCCAAATATTGATGCATTTGCTTATAATGGAGTAATACTCAATCGCTATTATGTACCCAATTTATGCACACCCTCGAGAGCTGCATTGCTTACCGGAAAATACCCAATACATACGGGTAAACAAGAACATAAACATCACTTATATTCAAATAAAACGTTTGATCTGGTTTTTTGCAAAGGCATGCAACATTTTGTGCAAATACCAGACGAGCCCTGGGGCTTGCCACTAGGTCACCGTCTTATGCCCCAGCTCTTTCGTGATGCAGGATACTCTACGCAACTGATTGGCAAATGGCATTTGGGATTTTGGCGCAAGGATCAAACGCCTACATTGCGCGGATTCGACCACCACTATGGATATTATAATGGTTACATCGATTATTATGATCACACACATTATATGATGAGCAAGAACTATACTGCAGGAGTTGACTTTCGTCAAGACTTAAAACGCGGTTACTTGGAAAACGGTACTTACGCAACGGAAGCTTTTACCGCAGAAGCTGTTCGTGTTATAGAACATCATGATACTGAGCGTCCGCTTTTCATGATTTTAAGTCATTTAGCTGTGCACACTGGTAACGAAAATAACCCAATGCAAGCTCCACTCGAAGAAGTGAACAAATTTCCACACATAATTAATACGAAACGACGCACTTATGCTGGTGGGTTACGTGAGCTAAAAAATTTTTTTTATACATATACACTAATATTATAAATTTATAAAATACATTCAAGGCATGGTTTCCAGTCTGGACAAGAGTGTGGGTCAGACAATACGTGCTCTTTCAGTTAGGAGTATGTTAAACAACTCCATTGTACTGCTCTACTCAGACAATGGTGCACCCACGTTGGGCATTCACTCCAACGCGGGATCGAACCATCCTTTTCGCGGTGTAAGTATTCTTAATATAGCTTTAATAAGGCAGCCTAATAAATTAAAATGTCTTGGGCTTTACTATTGTTAGGTATGAATATATATATATATTCCTATAGATTAAGTAACGTGATCGTGTGCAGTCGATCCCGTGGGAAACAATGCTGGGGTGATCCGACAGCATACTTTGAACAGCAAGCAAGCAAGCTCTTTTCCACCGTTATGCAGGGCCCTGCGACTCAGCAAAAAGTACTCGCTAAACGTCTCGTGGAAAATAATAAAACTGAAAGTGTACATAAGATATAAGATATAACAGAAAAAGTGATCATTTGTTCATCACTTTTGCACATCCCGGACGTCTATAAGGAAATACCAAGAACTCAAAGATCAAAGATCCAAGATCAACAGCTGGCACCAGCTAAGAAGAAGCCCTGAAATCTTTTAAAGACGCAAACCCAAGCGTACCGCTGAAGATTACAGTGCATACCCTGTCGAAAAGTTGCTTAATTAGAACATAGGATTACAATTATGAGGCAAACTCTTGCGTATAGTACGAAAACCTCAGATAATATACTTTTACAGCATAGAAAAATTGTACTGTTCATATAAGCTAAGCGTCAAGAATATATATCAGCTTTAGCAAAATTTATGAGCATACTAAAGATAATATTAAGTCAAAAATTAAATGAGCGTGGGTGAATGATATAGCTTGTCGAGTAGATAACAATTAATGAGGGTAGGATTCTGTACTCTCTGGGTCGGCGAAATTAGTCATCATGTAGGCCGTTTACCGGCCTAGGAAAAATAGATGTCTGCTGTAATTGAAAACATTTAATGGAGTATATGTAGACGGCACCCCACAACCGGAAGCAAGAACACGTGGACTAAGCAGCTCGCCTCCCAAGTACTCGAATGTCGCCAAACAAGTGCAATAATGGGTTTCGTTTTGATGGAACAGAGAAGATGCTAACATTTATGAGGAGCTGATCCTTTCAAAACGGTCGGCAGAAGTGCTGCGAAGTACGAAGACAATATATGCGACATAAGAGCGAGTGGGAACCGAGGAGCAAGCCGTTTTATAAATTATCCAAGATAGCTGCAAGCAAATGAAGAGCGGTTATCAGCACCCAAAACACTTCAAAGTGTCCGCAAAGGAGCGCCACCTATAAAATTACGCCACTTATAAAATTACGCCCCTATTAAGGTATGTTGTCAGCCCGGACTCGTAATGTTGTAGTACAGCGACAGGCTGCCCGGAAACCGGAGCGACATATTTTTATACCCTGATTCCATTGAAAATGGGAAATCAGGGTATAATGGTTTTGTGCAAATGTATGTAACAGGCAGAATAAGGGGTGAGAAGCCCCATAAAGTATATATATTCTTGATCAGGACGACAAGCCGAGTTGATTGAGCCCTGTCCGTTTGTCTGTCCGTATGTCTGTCCGTATGTGTGAACGCGTGGATCTCAGCATCTATAAGAACTAGAGACTTGAAATTTTTTTTATAGGTCCGTGTATAACACGCGCAAGTCAAGTTTGTTTCAAATATTCGATACCTATTCGCATTTAATTGTTATCGAATAAAAACATTATTGAAATGCAGTAAATAAATTCCCCAAATACCAAAAGAATATATAAATCATGTGCTGAAAATTTAATTAAAATCCATTAAGTAAAACAGAAGTTATTAAACAAAACGTTTGACCAGTTTGCAAAAGCACATGTCAAACAGCGCCATGTGCACGCTTTTTTTCTTTACGTATGCACACGTACATTCAAATGCGTGTATTCATATCTATTCGAAGAATCGAAATTGCCATTGAATTGTGCTTGAATTATCAGCTGCTACTTATGTGTGTACACATCACAAACGTAACCTTGTTGATCCGGCTCGAAGAACCAAAAAATGTGAATACATCACAAACCAAAAACTGTGAATACAAATAACTGTGGTGGTGTTCAGTTGTGTAATGATCTTTATTCGTCTGAGCAAGAGTTCTTATACCCTGGCTCATGCGTATTTCATCTCTTAACCTAAGTACATTATGTAATGAGTTCTGCGGTTGAGTGGAGCTCCAAGCGGGGGACATACTATGCTCTCCCGCTATATAGCTTCATATATATAGCTTGTATATACTTATATGCATATGGCATAAGCATTAGGCAAGCGGCATAGACCTTAGGCAATTATTAATAAATGGCCTACGACCATTTTGGCTTCTCCCTTAAGGCATGACTTCAGGTAATTCAGCTTCCTTGTGTCGCTGATATCTCTCCTGTTGTGAATCACCGCAGAGAATAACTCGAAGAACGTCGGCCACTCTTTGGGACTTCCATTGAAGTGAGGAAGATCCACTTTCGGTAGCTGTGGAACGTCTTCTTGTGTATTTTGCAAGTCAGCTACTCTTCTGTTTAGTTTTTTTTTGTGAGTATGCTGACATTGCATTCCAGCTCATCTATCTCATCGATGTCGAAGACAAATTTTTCGTATTTTGCCTCTAAATCCGTGAGCGTTGACTGGACTTTGTTCCCCAGGAAAATCAACTTGTCTTTATAGTCAAGGATTTTTTCCTGGCTGCTGAGCTCTAGATTGGCATACACTTCTTGCATGTGTTGCCTTACTTTTAGAGCTCGTTTGTCCACAAGGTCAACCACCACATCCATTGGGCTCGAGCTTCGTTGGGAAAATATTATTTCCTGCTGCCTGTGTTGTGCCTTGGATGTCTTTGGTTGGATGGATGCTGTTTCGTCGGTGTCTATGGCGGTGATCGATGACACCGATTTTGACCAATATTAAATGATTGGCAGTAAACTCTGCTGCCAATCTATCAATGGCTGGTAACGCATCCTTGTTTGTGATGCTCTGCCGGATCTTGTCATAGATCTCTGATTGCTTTTTGAGCAACTCCAGAGTTTTTGCCGACAGCATTTTGATTGTGTCTTTTCCGTGAGAAAATTTGATCTTAATTTACCCTTTGGCTTGACCAGTTGGAGGTGTTTTTGTTTTGATCGCCTGGTTGATCGTGCTCTGTCTCTACTCACAGCTTGAATTGGCAAGCCAAAAGGTATTTTGTAGTATGTATTGTTATTACGTCTATTTTCCCTATTCGATCATCGCGGTGATCTTCCTACCTATTCGTTGTACGGCTTTACGGGCCACACTACTATCGGGCAGAAAAGGTTCCGTTCGGTTTAACAATATTTTAATTATATTTAAATAAAATTTTTGTTCGTCTCGGAAGAATTTCCTTGTTACATCAGCTGGTCGTCGCCGATTGTCTCACTGATGCTCCCTCGTATGTGCAAAAGACGGCTCACACTTGTCTTCCAAACGTAACCTTGTAGATCAAAATGTCACAAACGAAGCCTTGTGGAGTTTACTCAAAGGACCAAAAAATCACAAACGTAGCCTTGTGGCTCCGGCTTGAAGGACCAAAAAATGTGTACCCATCACAAACGAAGCCTTGTGGATTCGGCTCGAAGGACCAAAAAGTGTGTACACATCACAAACGTAGCCTTGTGGATCCGACTCGAAGGACCAAAAAGTGTGTACACATCACAAACGTAGCCTTGTGGATCCGACTCGAAGGACCAAAAAATGTGAATACAAATAACTGTGGTGATGTTCAGTTGTGTAATGATTTATTCGTCTGAGCAATAGTTCTTATACCCTGGCTCATGCGTATTTCATCTCTTAGCCTAAGTACATTATGTAATGAGTTCTGCGGTTGAGTGGAGCTCCAAGCGGGAGACGTACTATGATCTCCCGCTATGTAGCTTTTTATATATAGCTTGTATATACTTATATGCATATGGCATAAACATTAGGCAAGCGGCATAGACCTTAGGCAAAGTGCGTACGCGGCATCTCCCACGCTGCTGGTCAGACCACACTTAAGTGGCTGATCATATTCCCATTGTTTATCTTAGCGCTCGCCCTATGTTTATGCTTAGGGACAAATGTCACTATATGCGTATTTAGTATACACTATCATACGTTAGGCATATGACGCATTTATATGTAGAATACTCTACATTGCTTCGGGTCTTATTAATATGTTATTAAATATACTACAGTATGTTCATGCCTGAACAACTTATCTTTCAAATTTACAACTTCTTGTGTAAGCAGTGACAATGTTGGTTCGAACCTCGCTGTCGTAATGTCAGTTCTTATTTGTTTTTTATTGTTAAATACTCGATACAATCTATGGAAAATATTAAAAAGTACAGATAGGACTGGGATCACGGTATCTCCTAGTCGGGCACCCCGACGAGATCTTTTTTTACTTGTTTATTGGTTCATTTAGTGCTTGTAGCAGAAAGTAAAAGTGGTTGTTGCTTTGTCGCTGACCAGAGTCTTGTTTTAATACTGGACGGCTTTGGCAACATGGTCTCGCCGGCACTGCTTTATTTAGTTTCATTAGCTTAGTATTATCCTTAAGACAGCAAATATCCCTTTTAATGTACGTTCTTCGATTATCTTCGATAGGCTTGAAAAAAGACATAATCGTCATTATGAGTCCACGAATTTGGGACACATCACTGCCGTTCTCGAAAATTACATAACTTCTCAGTTTGGTTTGGAAATAGAATACAACAGCTTAAAGATTTGATGCTTGTAATATCTCAAGCATTTCTTCAACTGAATCGCCTTTTGTTGTCACATCATTCATGGTTTTGGACCAAAATTGATATGACAACAACTCATCCATAGCTAGTTGAGTCTCGTCGTAAAATGCATTGAAGAATCAAGCATACACATAGATTTTCCCAATATTACCTGTAAGTAAATTCCTACATGTTCTAGCGTTTATCTCGAAGACGTCCTCCCCTTAAAGCGTTGTCCGATTCTCTTTCCATCCACAGCCAAAAACAATCCAGATCATATGAGTTTTCTGTATAACTAGTTATCCAGGTGAATCAAAATTAACTATCCCACTCCAAATTCTGCAGAATTCCAACAACTTTAGCTGCCTTAATGACGATTGAATTGTTTCTTTGTGGATTCAATTTTACTAACGGTAATTCAAATTTGGATGGGATATCTATAGAAATGGAAACAAATTTTGTTTGTTTTTCAATGTCCAAATCGTCCCATGGTCGCCCCACTGTCGACATAGCATTACTTTTGAGCTTTAAGACAGTACCCAAAGCTGCATGCACTTGATCAGCACTAGAAGTTTAAAACAGTTTTGAACAAAAAGAAAAAGAATGAAAGATTAAAGTAGGGAGCGCAGTAAAATTTTTATATATCTTAGCTTATATTTATATATGAATGCACTATCCCTGAAGGTATATATATTCTTTATGAGGATTAAAATTCCATTTAACCATATCCTTCAGCTTCCGTGATCTCATTAAATACAAAAAATAAACACTTGAATAATAACTCTTAGCTCAGGGAGTCTTAAAGGGAAGTCTCCTGGATGTTACTAGAGCACTCTTACTTGTTATTGATGCATGACGGAAATTATATTTCATCTGAAAAAATAGCGGTGTAAATAGTTCTTTGAGAGAATGTGATAATAATTTTGAATTCTTTCTTTAACAGCAAAAAGAATCTCCGTGGGAGGGTGGCCTACGATCGGCAGGGGCTATATGGAGTCCACTATTAAAAAATCGTAATTACGTTTCAAACCAGATTATTCACGCAATAGATTGGTTACCGACATTGGCAGCTGCTGCTGGTATAGTGCTACCAAAAAATCTTCATTTGGATGGTGTTAATATGTGGCCCACGCTTAAGGACAATTTAGAGCCTCAATCTAGATCACTCCTGCACGTCCTAGATGATGTCTTTGGTTATTCTTCATTTATGCAAGATAATCTGAAGTACGTCAATGGCAGCCGTTTTGAAGGGCGTTTTGACAGTTGGCTGGGAGATTTGTATGCCGGCGAAGATGATCCACTTGTTGCAGACTACGAGAAGCTGGTTATTTCCTCTGATGTGAATCAGGTGTTGGACACTGACACTTTGACTGAAGGTCGCATCCAGTACCTCCGTGGACTTGCAACTAATAGCTGTCCCAGCAACAAGGAGGACCACAAGCAATCTATTTATCGGTGTCAACCGCTTAAAGCCCCATGTTACTTTGATTTGGATAATGATCCATGCGAACGGTATAATCTGGCAAATCTGTATCCATCAAAATTACAGTTACTAGAAAATAAAGTAAATAACTTCAGATTAAGTGCTATCAAAAGTTCTCGAATCCCGATACCCGATTTGCGGGCAAATCCCGCTCTTCATGGAGACTACTGGGAGTGGTGGAATGATACAGTGACTGAAAAGGTTACCAATGGAGCTGTGAATTTAAAATGAAATGTTGTAAATATTTGACAAAATTGTATCTTTTTTTTAATAACGGGTACAGTTTCAATTTTTAAGTGACTCAACCAAAAAGATTTCAATTCATATTCTCTATATTCTAAATCGCAACGTGTTTGTTAGCAAACATTTCACTTTATAAGTCATTAATTTAAAATGTTTTCTTTTTCATATGAATAAGCAATACAGTGAGAATTTTATATATGATTTGAACATTATACATTTATTAAATAATACAGTAAATATTTAAAATAACAATCAAACTTTTGATATCTAAGATTTACGAGCATAAACCTGTTTCTAACTGTCCTTGTTTTTTGGGTTGCAACTATTGATCTCATGCACAAGTCATCACATTTCAACAGTTTACATTGTGAGTGAAGTCATACAATAAACAAGTAAGAAAGCTTTAGTCGGGGTGTCCGACTAGGAGTATTAGAATTAATTAAAAAAAAAAAAACAAATAAAAAACGACATTACGACACCAAGATTCAAACCTTCATTGCCTACGCAACAAACATATACTCTACCAAAAAAAAAAAAAAAAAAAAAAAAAAAAAAAAAAAAAAAAACTCGTCCCTAAAAATTTGAAAATTTCAAGAGAAGTTAACAATTCAAGAACAATTGAATCGCAATTTCGATTCTTTGAATAGAAAAGTATATGTATAAAAAAAAAAGTAAAAGTATATGTTTAAGTGTATGTGTGTGGAAAAATTCGTGCGGTTGGCGCCAAACGTTTTGTTTAATAACTTCTGTTTTACTTAATAGATTTTAATGAAATCTTCAGCATATGATCTACATATTCTATTCGCTTTGTAAAAATGCAAACACCTTTATTTATTGGCCCTATTTCCAACTGAGCTTAAATTTTAAGAATTCTAGGAAATGTAAAAATCAAAATATAAAATAGACAAAACTAAATAAAAAAATTGCTTAAGCAATTAGTTACAAATTTAAGTAGCAGCTGACAATTCAGGCACAATTCAATCGGAATATAAGTTCTTCGAATTTGTAATTTTCAAATTAGCCAAACTTCTGTTTTACTCAATGAATTTTAATGAAATGCTCAGCATATGATCTACATATTCGATTGGAGTCACCGTCAGTTTAGTAAAAATGCACTCATTTACATATTAGACCTATTACCAACTGATGTTAAATTTAAAGAGTTTGGGGAAATTTAAAACCGGTAACCAAAATCCAACTAAAATCAAAATTGAATAAAATATACATAAAACTAAATACAAAATTTTGAGGCTCTAGCTCTACGATCATGTTGATCATTGAGCTATATTAACCTCCTCTATCTATGCAGGAAAAAAATTATACATCGCTTTGGGTGTGCGGCATACACATATGTATAAATACCCTGTAATTTCCGCAGTTTTTGAAAAGCAAAAACGTAATAATAGATGGGCCAGATTGTAGAAATACTGGATATTCTAAAGCATTATAGTTAGAAAGTCAACTAAACGATTGAACTAAATAAAAAATTTCTGTTGACTTCCTCTATTGATTTACCAAAATTGACATAAATATAAATATATCGGAACTCTAATATTATCTTGCGACATTGTATTAGCGAAGCGAGTTTCGATCATGCAGCTCATGCACAGCTCTTTCTTGTGTTTCACACTGAATCAAACACGGCGATAGCGTTACCGCGCTGTCGCCTCACTAAAACGGTACTTTATAGTAGCGATCAGCCAATCACAGTCCTTACAAAAGCTGATGCAATATCAGCACCGTACTGAAATCATTGTGAAACAACTACAGGATATGAGTGAGATACATACTGAAAATCTATTAAATTATAGGTTATATTATTTATTATATTTTTATATTATTACCCCATAAAGTATATATATTCTTGATCAGAACGACAAGCCGAGTCGACTGAGGCGGCGCTCGTATGCGGCTCGGTCCGGGGTTCGAGCCCAGTGGAGATGAAACATTTTTTGTTTTATTTTTTTTTTTTTATAATCTAGTGGCGGTGTTGGTAGAGTTGGTGCACGTTGCGCAAATATCCGGGTTCGAAACCTAGTCTCGCAATGTTTTTATTTTATTTTTTTTTTTTTTTTTTTGAATACTCGATACAAACTACGGAATATTTAAAAAAAACTCAGAGGTCTGGGATCAGGGTATCTCCTAGTCGGGCACCCTGACTAGAGCTTTCTTACTTGTTTATATCAGAGTTGTATTCATTAAGATTTATTTTATATCGTGGTAACGTCATATTCATCTTTTACCGAATAAAGCCATTGCAATGGTTTATGATCAATATAGATCTTAAAATGTCGGCCATAAAGATATGATCTAAAATTTGTTGTTGCTCATACTATAGCTACTATACTATACTATACTATATACCATAGCTAGAAATCCTTTCTACAAAGTTAAGTAATTGTTTTCGTGTTCATTAAGGGTACACATGTCAAAACATATTGGCTTCTTAGTCTGAGGAAGTATGCCACCTGTAGCATAATCGCTAGCATCGGTCATTAAGACAAACTCTACGAAAATCTAGTCTGGCCAGAATAGTTCAAAAAATGCCTTTATGTCTTCTTGGATTTTGTGAATCTGATATTTGTTTATAGATTAACCTTTGTCTGGGTTTAGCTGAATTAGAATTACACAATTCTGCATTCATTGTAGAATAAAATTTTGAGATTTTGGTCGATCTCACCAGCTCGTAAGTCATTGGGAATGTTTCTAGGATTTTGAACGATATTTTATTCAGTGACTGTTTTTGATTGATAATAAATTTTCGCTTCACACATTCAATCAATAAATGATTTCCACACAATAGATCATAAATAGCAAAAATGGTTGAGCATCGAATAAATCAATTATTATACAATTGATGTACTCACTAAGATGTTTTTGACCTATAATAGTTTTTATACTAGTCTGTTTGTGATATGTTTTACGACCTCAGCTGGATTTCATTCAATTTGCACTAAATTCTGTATCGATTACTGTAGTTAGAGATTATTGATTAACATTACTAGAACATTTCTAAACCTAAAACTATACTCATGTTTGCAGTTTTCAGAAGAATCAGTACTTCAGTTGGTAGTTGATCAAGACATAACCGTTTCTATACTCTAATTCACTAGATGAGCGTATATTAGTGTATTATCTTCTTTACCTCAGTTATTTCATCAGATTTTTCTTAAATATTTTACATCGAAAGCGATTAGATCCACGATATTAGGTCTTGATGATTCGGTCGATCAGCGTCCGCAGCGGGATGCATATGTTATAGTAGTCAATCAGAAGAGTCCGTAAATCCATCATAGTCTGTTCCCAATGACGATTCACTAGCCTTTGCGCTAGTAATAAGATGTGGAATATTTTGGTAGATCCTGTTTTGTTGAAGAAAGTCTAATTTAAGTAAGTAAGACGTTGATAGACACTAAATCGTTTAATGATGTTCAAGGAATAGAGCAAAGCCTTGAATGTATGTGGTGATAAAAGTTGCTTCGGCCATGCTGTCAGATTTTAACATTTAGGCACTTTGAAACAGACCTGGCTTGATTGCTGTCAATAGTCATATGACAACAGATACCATAGAATATGATTTGCAGGTATCAAAAGAGATGCAATTCCAGACGTAAACACTGTTGTGTAGTGAACATAAATCACTTGGTTGTCTAAAGGATCAATATTGAGTTGAGATACTAGTTCGTTTCTCAGAAAATAAAACAGTAATTAAATAAAAAAATAAATGCTTAATCACTATATCTGAGCCGCGACTGAACCAATTGTCATAAAAAATTCAATTCTTAGTATACAATTCCTTGTATACAAATTTTAAGTACACTGTGTTATATTACAATAGAGCAATTTTCGCTTTATATTATATTCACTGCTCAAATGTCGGCAATGTCTGAAAATCGTCACATCAAATCGTCAAACATCAAATCTAAGCATTTTTTAGAGAATATAAAAATCTCTTTTATTGATTTAATCAATCTATTTGTGTTTGTAACATATTTATATGATTTTTATCCGTATACATATTATATACATTTATATATGTACTAATAGTGTATACAGCTGTTGTAACATTCCTCACACACATGCAAGAGAATTAATGCCGTTAAAGGTCCAAAAGCTATTGTACAGCTTAAACAAAAAAGCACCATAAATAAGAATATAAAACCAATATACATAAATATAAATACATATAAAAAACAAAACTAAAAAAAATGTAATAAACTAATCGAATGGTTTTGTGTTCTTTTTGTTTTGTTTCGACAACTTTCAAACTTGGCGAGCCGACCACCACAAATCC